TCTAAAAGCGGTATTGGTTGTTTCAGATTGGCTATGTCAGCTCTGTACTTTCGATGGAAATTAATTTAGCTTAGAATTGTCATTTTTTCAACTTCCCTTATTTTGAATCGAGTCGCTCTATTTCAATATGACGTCTCAACATATTTACACTGGGGAAAGATGCTCAAAAATAGTATAATTCTCTCCCATAGTAGGACTTCAATTTATCTAGTTTTGACAAGATTGCTCAAGTCACTCTGATCCAGTTATAACAATAGAATGTTTCCATGTGACGTCATAATGAAAGAGGGGAATTACAACAATGCATTTCGGTCTTGGAATACCCTATACAGTATTGCAGTATTCACGTTTTCCAACTAAGATGTATACTCTTGTACAAAATCTTGCCCTTCATCTTCGTCTCCCGGTGACGTTCCTGCTATATTCCTCGCAGAGCAAATCTAAAAGTGTATTTAATTTGCAGAAAATTATCCCTATCTCATTATTGATGATGTACTCAAGTCGAAAGCTCTTTCCCATTGGCCCATGGATAACAAGAATGATTTGAAATGCTTAAAGACTGGTTTATGGACCTATGCCAACGACTCGGCAAAYGTGAATGGAGTCAAAGGCGGCGCATTGAGATTCGCCGGCAATGGAAGTATGGTGAAGTTACCTACTAGACTGAACACTTTTTCTTGCTTRTTTAATCCAAATTATTGCGATCCTAATGGGATAACAGTCTCAATGTGGATTAAAATTCACCAAAGCGTACMCAACGATAGCCAGGTTTTTTGGACTTCTCAGGAAACACCCAAGAGTACAGGGTATTCCATATTTCAACCACAGTCGACTTCGAACATTTCTGTGAGCGTTACAGATTTTGACTCCGAGGCCATCGACAGTGTGGCCGCTCCTTTGAATATTTGGTTCTTTTTYTTGTTTRAYTACGACAGGTGTTCAGACTCAGCGTGCAACTTCCCAAAGATTTATATTAATGGCAAATTGCAATCTAATGGCCAAAGGAATTACGTAGATAAGAAGTATTTCCCAGGTGGTAAAATCAATTACACAAGTATTGGACAARTCGGGGCTGGGCTGCCAAACGCTTCTATCGATGAAATTGTCATCTATACAGGGAAGACCTCATTTTCTAATTTTTACAATTATTACAAAGGTTAGTGTTAGAAGTGATGGCTTTATATTCATAAATATGGGTCTTGATTTATTGTATATCAAATTTTGTCATTTGCTTGGTTCAGATCCGAAACAATAAAAAAGTGTTTATTTGGGTTAATCGGTTGACTCTTGCTTGATACCTCAGCGCGATGTTTTAATTGGGTTGCGTGTTTTGTTTTCTTTGTTGTTTTGTTTTGTTTTTGGAAAATTTGTTGTTTTAGCAAGCAATCGTAAAGTGGACAAGTCGTTTAATGCTTACRACATTTCATTGTAGCTTCGTTTTTTAAACAGGAGGACCGAATCTACACCTTGATGCAACTTTACTAACGCAGGAGAGCTGGGATTCAGAATTGCTAAACCGAAACAGCCAAACGTACTCAGATACGTTTTCGAATATAACACAAGCTGTAAGTATAGATGACAAATGTGCTCTTTTGCTGCATGTCAGATCTGGGTCAAGGTCTAGTCAAACATCGCACGTGAGTTGGATTCCATTACTACTTGGCACCTGACATGAGTCGACGTTTGACTCGAAGCAGTACGACTAAACAATGGGATACGATGAAGATGTTATTTTCGACTTTTGGTCTTCCTAAATTCGACTTTTAACATTTAGCTGGCCCATCTTGAAAGATAACCGATCCGTTGCGACATCAAAGCGAGACAGCAGTTGAGCTTGAAATGACAGATACCTGTGAATAATTGTTTTARTGTGAAAAAAGGTATCTTTCGCTGCAGCCTCAACTCCTGTCTCGCTTTGGTGTAAAGGCTCGGTTATTCAAGATGGGGCTTGGAATATTAAGGTTTATATATATATTTTCTAGCATGTCACGTAAGTCACTTGGTCATATCCCTCAGCAAAAGTACGATGTTCATATTGCATTGTTTCAGATAACATCTGCAGACGTAAGCAACAACGTGAAGAATTATAGCAAAATTCGCTTCTGGTGAGGACAAATTAATGAAATTGATTTACTTTACATGAGTTAACAGACTGGCCTACATCATTTTTTTCATCTCCATTTGAAAATATTGTTATCATATTAAAACCTTTTCTGACAATAATTTCTACTCTATATTTCATTGTCGTTTTACAGGGACCAAAATGGATTCGTGGCATTCAATATTTTAATAGGTTTCAATGGAAAAGACTATAGTTCAATGAATGACGTTGTTGTGTATTTGGAGCAAAATTATACTATACTAAACTACAGTTCAAATGACGGTGAGTGACAGTTGAAATGGTTTATGCAGTAGAATTCGCTGTTTTGGCGACTCCTTTCCACCGGAAGTAAACAATTTCCCGCCATGAAAACGCGCGCGCGCCCGCTTCTCCGATTGGCTGCATCGRCTAGCATAGCAACCRGGTCGTCTAGAAACGGATGCATCTGGAGATGTTCATAAAACAGAAAGAAAAATGTGAGTTGTTTGAATTGAATTCGGCATATGTGAGATTTACATATTTTTTATACTTATTCAATAGATAAGTTATCATTTTTGTTATAAGCACTTTATTTTGTTAACTAAAAAGCACATGAGTAATAAAACAGTTTCAGTGTCAAAACAGTGTTTAAAACGAACCTTGAAGTGGAAAGTAGATGGAATAATTGAAGAGAAATTGAAAAAGAGGAAAGTTCTTATGTCTCTCCCACGTGTACGATATTTTTGTTCTTGAGTTATTTGTTACAGGAGCATCGCACTTGCGGCATATAAGTAATAAAATTATTAAATTATTATTATTTTCATCATAACGTGGAAATTTTTAAAGGCTATGCATCCAAMTGAATATAGTAATGATCTTAGTGCAAGAATTTCTATTTTATTTGCAGTGATTGTGTTAACACRCTTTTTTCTGTTTCAGTTTTCATCAGACGTTTGGCTGTTTCTTCATATGATGTGAATGGCACGCTTATCTCTTTGTCTATTAAATGGTCCACCGAGAAAACCTTATACCATGGTATCTTTATGAAGTACACAATCACCTATCAGAAAGCTGATGTGATGTCGTCCGCTTTAAAGTATAAATATCTATACCGCGACGAATTGGGCGATACCTTGAATTATGTTCTCAATGTGAGTGACTACTACACGAATTACTCGATTTGGGTCCGAGCCGACACACATGAAGGAGAAGGACGAGAATCSGAGAAGATTGTAGTACGAACAAACGCTTCAGGTAAAGTGACTTAWTCATCAATAGTCTCCTTCACGGTTACCTACGCCATCTTGAAAGGTAGCTGTGCCTTTGCATCGAAGCGAGACGAGCGTTGAGAAGGCAATGATAGAAACATTCTTTCACACGTACAGACAATTATTCACAGGTATCTATCATTGCACGTTCAACGGTTGTCTCGCTTCGATGTAAAGGCACGGCTACCTTTCAAGATGGCGAAGGTAATCGCGAAGGAGACTATTTGATCCCTCAAGGCGCGCAAAGCATGATTTCTTGACGCGACGATTAATCCATTCTACACACAACCATGGGGAATTCTACTTTTTTATTAAATCATTTGTATCAGTAATCATTTCTCATCTTGCATTCATTCATTCATTCATTCATTCATTCATTCATTCATTCATTCATTCATTCATTCATTCATTCATTGCATCCATTTATCTTGTTGAAGCTCCTCTCGTGGCTCCTCAAAAGGTCAAAGGATTCAACAAGTCATCACAGTCCATCAAAGTAACGTGGATCTCCGTACCATCTAAGTATCGTAGAGGACCGGTTACTAGTTACCTGATCAAATACCGCTTGAGTGATTCATCAGAACCAGAGGCTAACAAGTCAGAGTCTACAACCTCAACTTTGCTTGAAGGGCTGCAGAAGTACTCAAATTATACAATACAAGTTTGTGGTGTCTCTATCGAGAATCATCTTGGACCTTGCGAACTTATCCATGTATGGACTGACGAGGATGGTGAGTATAATGTGAAGCATTCGAGYCCTAGCGCGCCCTAGCCCTAGTGTTGGACCGCTGACAAAAAGCATTGGAACAATCTCGTACCCAGAGCCCGCACTTTTGCCATCCAGCGGAAGTCAATGAGTCAGCATACCGCTGACATTAGCCGTGAAGACTTTGGACTCGAGATTGGCCTTGGACAGACTTATTTAAAACAAAATGAGTGTCTGATTGATTTCAAGGAATCTAGATTTAGATATCAAAACAATTTGTGATAAGAATATCATGAATACGATGGGATGATTTATATGATTATTATAAAACACAAGACCAATTACTAAGAGATTGGTCCGTTAAAACTTGAATAGCAGTTGTTCCCTTTGTTCGTGCATGACCATGAAATATGAATGATATGATTGTATTAAATATATCTCCTTTCCCATTCTTACCAAGTTCCTGGAATGACGCCGCAAAACGTGTCAGYCAAGGCTGTCAATGCCACCAGTGCCAACATCACATGGGATGAGATACCAGAAGGGTATCGATTTGGTGTTATCGTCCATTGCTCGCTAATGTGGAMAAAATCTAGCGATGTTTCAAGTAAAAGTCAAGTGTTTATTGAATCCTTAAAGAAGCCTGCCGTTGGATTTCTTTCCACAATTATCAAGATTCCGCCCWATCCGATGATGTACKTRCTATCRGGTTTAGAATCGTATACATCTTACCAAGTGCAACTAGCATGTTCAACAAGAATTGGAAGTGGGAATTACAGTTCTCCTGTCACGTTTTACACTGGGGAAGGTGGTAAGWRRWARAMKAMWAYYWMTMTMTMTYYWT